TTCCCTCTAGCCCTTTCCAATGCATTTTACTGTTTTTGCAGGGATAAAAAACACCTCCAAAACCCCATAGCTTAGAACAATCATTATACAAAAGGGAAACAACTGCCCTACTAAAAAAGGGGCCAAATTATTTTAAATTTGTGTCAAATCAAAACATACTCTGTCTTGGAGAAAGCTTGATTGTAGCTGGAATAAACAATGGGTGAATATAATGTTTCTGTATAGAAATAACAAGTTACTGAATTTAATTATTCTTATACAAACCTGTATAATTGGGCAAAAATAGATTTGTATTCTTTAACACCTTCCATTACATGTGATTTTCTGTAATTTCTGACACTCAAATCCACTAATAAATGGGACTGGACAGGACTAATACAATGTGTAGCAAGCCACTAGCTTAACACCCTGTGCTAAAATACTTCCCATATAACGAATTCTCATTAAAGTAAGCCAGAGTCATAATGATGGTCATTACACAGAATTATAGACTATAACATCGATCGAATTTTGTGCACTGACAAGGAAAAAGTGCAGAGCAGTGCAAGACATCTGAGCATTAGGCAGTTGTAGCAGTGTACGACAGACATTCCTGACAAGAAGCAGCCAATTATAGCTTAAATTTCTGGCATATAACCAGTTCTGATTAATAGTTTTTCATTATATTACAGACATATTATTAATGTGTTAAAAATGTCAAGCTTTGGCAAGAACAAATACAGCATGGCTCAGTTAGCCTGCGGTATCTTCATTTAATGAGCTTCCATTGATACAGAGAAAGATATTGACCAAAGCACATTAAGGATCATGTGCTGAGCACTGCTGGAGGTTTTCTGACAGAGGTATATGACATCTTGCTTATATTTAATCCTGCAGAGTCACTCATGGCATCCATTCTACATTTCACTGCACTCTTGCTAAGGACGTATCTATATGAATTATCCCTTAAAAAAAAACATTTAGAATAATGTTCCTGAAGTTTACAGTTGTACCAGTCAACTAAGTGCTAAGCCTCTAGCTGTGGGCAACACTAAGTGATAGGGATTTTTTGTCTCCAGTAATGCCTGTGTATTTGATCTTACAAAAAAGCAATCAAACAAATTAGGAATAACTAATGGCTGGTGCCCTGATCCCCTGCACCCTGCCGTGCACACTCTGGGTGTTGGGGGCCCATGGGAGTGGCAAAGAGGGAGCAACGTCTTTAATGCCTGAGGGTGAGGGAAAGAAAACTGCTCAGAGGCCTTTAGCTGATATATGCAAAGCCTCAAGAGTATGCTGCTCCTGGAGATGTCTTTTGTGGGGCATAAGTGATATGAACTGTGGGACATGTGGGGCCTTGAATGTTTCCCTGTGCCACAGCCTCTGCAATATGGAAAACACAACGAGGCACCCAAGAGGTGACACCGCTGAAGGCTACTTCTGTTTCTGCATTCCCTGCTGCAAAGTGCTGGGTGTTTAGTCCACAGTGAGTATGTTTCAGCTGTTTGAGAAGTTAATCCTCAGATGAAAATCTGCTGTGAAGGCAGCTCTGAGTGCCCACCTCCCTTTCCAGGTAGGTAAGTCACACCTCATGCAGCATTTTAATTCTGCAGCCTGAGCAGATACCCCCTTCTCAAACCAGCTAAAACACCTCTTGGCAGAATTGGTTCTCGTGAAGAATTTCAGATCTCACCAGGGGTTGTCAGCAAACAGTCCTTGTCAGCCTCCTTCCATCAGTGTGAAAATCCACCCCCTTTCCCAAGTAACTCCCTCTGCAGAAACCGTGTTGGCTGGACACCTGCACAAGCTCCCTGCTGGGAAGTCGTTGTGCAGGCTCCATCCCGGCCTCCCTTTGGCAAACACCAGGTACGCGAATGAGGTAATAAAGTAACAAGTGATCGCCTCTCAAAGCCCGTGCATTCGATAATGTGCACACTGCCACCACACACGGGTAAGAACAAGAGCCAAACCCGGCGGTTGTTAACGCCCGGCAGCCTGAGGAGGACCTGCTAAAATCATTAAGCAAGGCAAGGAGCGCGGGCTGCTGCCTCCCGACCTCAGCATCTGCAGAGCAGTTTGGTGTTTTTTTTTGCCAAGGGAAACATGTTTTAAGTTTGTATCCCTAACAGCTTCAGCAGATGAATGTATCTTATCAAGCCCAGGTAAAAAGGTCTTTTGTGTCCACCCCAGTTACTAATTATTTCGAGGCAGTTTAAAATTTATGAAATAATGTGTATTACAAATCAGAACTAATCCTCATACCTGCAACTTACAACATTAAATAAAAACCAAGTGTTTTACACCTTGCTACACCTAAATAACTTGAGAACCTGGTACGTATAAAGCAGTAGTGTTTTTTAAAAAACCATCAACCTACAGCCCAACTCTTTTTATAAATGCAAAATTATTCATCTACACAAACAAGAAGGGAACCTGTATTTAACAATGTAATGCACACCTTCTGTCAATACTGGTATGAATTACAGTATATGCCAAACAATTGCTGTGGTGCCTTTGGACACAAATACTGCTCCAAACGAAGTTTAGGTTCTATTTTTATCCAGCTAATGTAACTATTTAGCAGAAAAAGAATTGTCTCAAGATGAATTTAAAATGTCAATATATATTGGCTGAAGAAAATAAAACACAGTGTTCTACTACCAAAAACTGGGACTAGGCACTAAAAATATTTCTGGTTTCCCCACATCATTCTTTCCT